AAGCGCTCTGCTATATGCTCAATCAACTAGGTGTGAACATAAGATAAACGCTTTCTTCCCTGTAGTCCGCACTTAGCCCACGACAGGCGAACAGAAGGAGGCCGAATTAAAGGTACAAAGCTTTCCTCCCTGTATTCAATCAGGTAAAAGCGAGCATAAGTTACGAAGTCCTGTTTTCTGCATTCACTCAGTTAGGGGCGAACATAAAGTACCGGACTTCCTCCCTGTAATCCTTCCGTTAAAGGCACAAGTAAGGTGCACGTTGAATTCGCTCCAGTTCCAGCTCGCCGGTTCAACAAAAGATGCGGTTTCCATGTATTGCTGTCTTGAGGGTTCAGGGTTTAAGGTTGGGTAGGGTTTGGGTTTAGCGTTAAGTAGAGTTTGGGTTTAGGGTTGGGTAGGGTTTGGGTCAAGGGTTTAGGCTTTAGGTTTCTTTCCGTCCGCCTAACGGGAGCACGGCACTTCCAGATTGGAAGAGACTGGGCTTAAGGTTTAGGGTTTGGGGTTTAGGGCTTAGGGTTGCTGGGGGCGTTTAGGGGTTAGGGCTTGGGGTGTTCGGATTTCGGGTCTAGCCTGCTAGGGTGTAACGGTTTTTGCAGAAGGGTTTTGCGAGGATGTTAAGAACTCTACCTCGGGGTTTCCGTGGTGTTAGTCAGAGAGTTGCTCAATAAAAATTTAGTTTTGTCAGTTTCTGCAAGCCTAAAGTCTAAACCCTACACCCCTAAACCCTAAAGACTTCGACCCTCAACCCTTCCAACAAGAGCTACAACAGCGTTTGCCCTTCTGTTTCGGAGGAGTTGGGGTGCAGGACTTTAGGATGCGGGGTTCAAGGAGTGAAGAGTGTTCTTAAAGTTAGGGTTTGAGTTTAGGGTTATCGTACTAGTTGGAGTTTGCATTCCAGTCCCTTGTGTTCCGAACCTTCAAAAATCATCTTCCTTCCGGATCTTTGCCCTGATTTTTGTTCGTGTCTTTGATGGATTGAGGATCTGGGGTTCACGGCTTGGGTTCGAGGGTTTGGGTATAGGTTTTCGGGCTTGGGGTTCAGGCTTTGGGTGTTTAGGCTTCTGCTGTTTGGAGTCTAGGGCGAGCTTCCGATGCGGCCTGAAAAGCACCTACTCCAATATCCCTTAATTAAGGAAACTACCTCGAATGGTAGGATTCGAAAAAGGAATTTTCCTTAATGAAGGGCATGAAGGGATGTTGGAGTCGCCGGGAGCACGCTGCAGCCTTCAGGGCATCCGGAGAGTAGTCGCTTCTCTGGAGGTCTTGGATCCAGACCTCCCAGAGACTCCAACATCCCATAACTAAGGAAGAAACCTTGAATGATGTTAGGGACAAACACTCAACCCTAAACCCTTAAGAAGTACACCTTAAATCATATTAAGGATTCTACTACAGTTTAGGGTATATTCCTTAATTCCCCTATAGAACCCAAACAGGTCCCTTGAAGGAGTCGTCAGGTCTATTCCCTAATAAAGGGGATAATCTGACCCAGACCTTGCAGAAGTCAACAGGCGTTGCGGGCTTCTTGATAAGGGAGGTTACCATAATGGGGCATCGGGTTTAGGGTTTGGGGTTTAGGGTTTATAAGGGGTTTAAGCTTTAGGATTTGGGGTTTATGGGTTTAAGGTTTAGGGTTTAGGGTTGCGAGTATGGTAACTTCAGCCGAAGTCCTTAACAAGAACCCAATCTTTAGGAAAGGAACTTCAGGGCGTGAGGCGTGGGGATTCCAGGTTTAGGATTTTGGGCTTCGGGTATATCATCAAGCCACTCAGGCAAAACCCGAGGCCGTAAACCCTAACTAAATCCATAAACCCTAAACCCTAACCTCTAAACCTAGGTCCCAAAATCTAAATCCATAAACCCTAAACCCTAACCCCTAAACCCAAGGCCCCAAAAAACCTACATCCATAAACCCTAAACCCAAACCCCTAATCCCTAGGCCCCAAAACCTAAATCCATGAACCCTACCCAAACTCTAATTCCATAAACCCTACCCAAAACCTAAATCCATACACCATAAACCCTAACCCCCAAACCCTAGGCCCAAAATAAACCTTAAACCCTAACTCCTAAACCCCAGGCCCCAAAACCTAAATCCATAAACCCTGAACCCTAACCCCCAAACCCTGGGCCCAGAAACCCAAATCCATAAACCCTAACCCCTAACCCCTAAACCCAAGGCCCCAAAAAACCTACATCCATAAACCACTAAACCCAAACCCCTAATCCCTAGGCCCCAAAACCTAAATCCATGAACCCTACCCAAAATCTAATTCCATAAACCCTAAACCCTAACCCCTCAAGCCTAGGCCCAGAAACCTAAACTCATGAACCCTAAACCCTAACCCCTGAACCCTAGGCCCCAAAACCTAAATCCAAAACCATAAACCCTAAGACAGCCACTAGCCACCAGAGTGCCCGGCCGGTGGTGGAATCCGCTGGAAGGGGCCGGAATAGCTCCTGGGCGCTGCGTTTGAGAAGGCTTGGCCGCAAGCTGCAGGGCTGAAGACTGAAGGCCTAAACACCCTGCGGAACCCTCATGGAAGCCCGAGCCAACTAAACGGTACTTGGGGAGGCTTCCTCTAAGGGGTTCCTCTAAGGGCACCATAAGGGACTTTGCAGGTTTAGGTTAGGATTTTAGGGTTTAGGATTGTAGGGTTTAGGGTCCTGGTAGAGTTTAGAGTTGAGAGCAGTTTAGGGCTTCACGTCGAAGGTTTGGGTTTAGTTCGGGGGCGAACGCATGATTCAGCGTCTTGGGTACCCGAGGCCAACACGGAAGGCACTGTGAAACTGAAGGGATATTTAAAAATCAGCCCGAGATCCTCAAAGCGTCTGATAACACCCTGTTGTGTCATAATACAGTACGTTAAAGTATATGATGGTACACTATAGTAACGTATGATATCGTAAGGTATGTGATAGAACATCATAAATCCTCAACCCGAACACATTCAAAACAACTATTTGCTGCCAACTGCAAGGCTGTAAGCAAAGGCTCTCCTACTCAAGCCTCATGCCTCTTTGGGCCTCCAAAAAAACATGTAGCCACGGGCAGCCGATTTGGAGTTTGCCCTAAACTATGGGAATTATGGTACATTCCTTCTTATGGGTAATGCAGGATGTATGTCATCAACCGTCGTTCAAGCCTCGACTTGCCCAATGGTGATCTACAAGGGCGCGTTGCGCTTTCGGAGTGCTAGCCAACTTCGGGGTCGGACACCCTAAACCCTAAACCCTGAACCTCTAAACCCCTAAACCCTAAACCCCTCATCCTAAACCCCCCTAAAAACATCCCCAAATCCTGGTGGCGCAGAACCACCTGAGCTCACCCTTATAGATCCCTTAAGGGGGCCCTGGAGGATCTCTTGAGGACCCCTTAACGGAACCTGAAGGAACCACCCTAAACCCTAAACTCTCAACTCTAAACCCTAAACCCCAAACCATAAACTCTAAACCCTGAACCCTAAACCCTAAACTCTAAACATCTCTAAACCCTAAACCAGCCCTTACCTAACCCTGGGTACATGAGCTCACCACGCGTCTCGTCGGCCAGCCCACCCTTCGTCGTGGCCCATGGCAGCTGCGATGCAGACTTGGCTTTCGGCGAAGCTTTAGTACATTCTAGGTCCATTTTAGGCTTAAGATAGCTTAGGATGTTTTAGGGTTTAGCACTTTTATGTTTGGGGTTTAGGATTTTAGGTTTAGGATGGCTTCGGGATTACTAGCCTGCAGCTCGCTGCTAGTGAGTTGAGGACGGAAGGGCTTCACAACCCAGGGTTTGCCTCGTGATGTTATCTTGAGACTCTTGAACCCAAAGCTCTTGAGCATCATGAGCATGTGGGCATCTTAGTATCTCTGAAAGTGTTAACTTCCTGCAGCACGGCACTGAAATTGCCAGCATGTCAACCCATGCACCTGTGCAACTTGCAGCGTTCAAGGCGTGAAGCAAAAGTCTTGAATGCCATGCATGCTTCTCTGCTTGAGCTTTCGTGGATAAACCAAGGGCTGTGAAACACAACACTGGCTCGCCAATCTTGGCGAGCCACGATTGGACTTGCAAGCAAGGGGGCAAACGCCGAAATGCGCACGACAAACTCAACAATGACATGTCACGAACTGCCGTTCAGTAGCTCTCGGCGGGCTTGCTCAACGGCCTTTGCCACACATGACCAGCCGGCCGAGTCCTTCGTGGTGGCCCATGGCGCGATACAGTTTTTTTGACAGACTGTGAGTTTCATACTTACAGCTCAAAAAAGCTCAAACACTGCTAGTCTGCTAGTCTTGATCGTTGACTTGCTGAACAACAGAAAGCTTGCCTTGAGCCTGTACCGTGTGATTCTTGAACCAATTGCTTCGATCGTCATGAACATGGGAGCTTCTCAGTTCTCGGCCAGATGTTCAAGCATTCCAACCGAACACTGCCTGTCGATTGCTGCCTGTGTTTTCATGCCACGGATGCGCGGATGACGTGGCAAGGGTTCGAGATCCTACTACGGCCTTCCACAAGCCAAGTAGGGAAAACACGACCTGGGCCTCGGCCTCACTCATCCGTTGAAGACCCCACTGATTCTTCCAACAACCCTCGCCCCGCCATAGTAAAGCATGGAACTGTTGTATTGCATAATTTCATAATGTAAGAGGACATATTCCAATACAGTACGCACGAACTTGCCTGAGATTTGCCTTGAGGCCAGGCCCACGCCTTCTCACGAAGAGCTATCGGAGGCCTCCCGTTCGCCCCCCATCCAAAACAGAGCACGGTCCGACGTGCACACCGGAAGAATGTACAGCGATTGCTGCATTTGCGGTGTAGCAAGGCAACCAAGAGACTCCAATCTCCCCTAATTAAGGAATAGAAATTGAATTATAGGAGGATCCCTTTAAAAAACCCTAGAGATCCCTTTAAGGATCCCGAATATGATTTGAGGAATGTTCCTTAATTAAGGGAATCTTGGAGTCTCCGGGTTTAAGAAGAGAGAAACGCAGCCGCTCAGCGCTCAGCGGATCTCGGTGACCTTCTGGGCTTCTTGTTTTGGGATTGAGTTTTAAGTTTAAGAAATCTAGAAGGGTTTAGGGGTTTAGGAACTTAAGCTAACATGCCATAACAGGGATCTATGGTAAGTAATATGGTGCCTTAAATTAAATCCTTTAACAAGCACCCAGCCTTGCAGGGCGTGAAGGGGCGGCCCACCGTTGTGTCAGCGTTGCCGCCTGTTGGGGGGGAGATGTTCGTCACGCTCCCATCTTCCTTGTAGACGACGATGGTCTTGTCGCTCCTGTCGTTGCCATCTCGCAAACCCACATGCGCAATGGAGAACTTCTTTCCATCGACATCTCCGAGTCGAAAATTGCCAATCTGCACGAAGCGGTCGCCAAAGGTGATGCCCTTGGGCGGGCCGTAGGCACGATTGAACAAGCCGCCCGAAGTCATGTGTACAGTCTGACCAGTCCGGGAAAAGGCCAAGATTGCGAACTGTCCTCCATGGAAGAGCTGGTGCGATATGGTGAGGTAGTTCGTGGTGGTCCCCAACATTGTCATTGACGGGACGTCAGCCTCGCCAATGCGAAAGCCATGCAGCTCGATGAAGCGATCGCCAAATCTCAAACTGGAGGCTGCGAGAGATTCGAGGCCCCAAGTGCTAAAGCCTGTCCTCGGTTCCGGAGTAGGACCTTTATAACAAGGGTACCCTTTTTCCTACTCTTCGGTTATTTAGTAAGGGGGCCCTAAAACAAAAAGGGCAAAAAGGTGCTACTCAGGAACCTAGTGTCCCTCCCGATGCGAGGATGCCATCCCTTCGCACGATCTGCGCGGTCTTCCCCAGTCGGTGGGAGAAGGAGAGGTGGACCAGGTCGGAGGTTCCAAGGCGCCAGTCCCCGAACTGCAGGAAGCCGTCACCTCAGCTCGGAGACTTGCGGGGGCTTCTGAATGTTGCCGATACCCAGCCTAGAAAGCGTCGCCCCCCACCTGCAGTGATCCCGGGACAGGTGCCAGTGGTGCTCTGGATGGCGCCACAATGCGATTGCGTCGGCCGATCGGTCACCTGCCAGCCCCATCCGGCAATTTCTCCAAACATATGACCATCCGCCCTGTAGATTCGGATTGTCCGGCTCGTGGAAGGCGAAGTGTCGGTGCTGTGCGTTACCAAGAAGTGACCTCCATCCGCGTCTCCTAGTCTAAAGTTGCCGAGCTGGAGGAAGTGCTTCCCATACAGAACTCCAGCTGCAGGCCCAGCAACGTCTTGTTCCCTGCCCTTCCAGGCGTTCCAAGTTGTCGTCGGCCCAGAATGGATGGTGGCGTCGTTCCTGAAGATCTGCGCAGTATTCCCAGAGTTGTGGGAGACGGTCAGGTGGTTGTCGTCCATCGCTGCCAGGCGGAAACTGCCAATCTGCAGAAAGTTCTTCCCGAAGGTAATGCCGTGAGGAAAACCGATGGGCCTGTCCCACGACGAGCTGAAGTCCGTTCTGGGTCCTGGGTGCAGAGTCCCGTCGGATCTGAAGATTTGGGCGGTCCAGCGACTGCGGTGGGAGATGCTGAAGTGGTTAGAATCAATGGCCGCCAGGCGCCATTCACCCAGCTGGACAAAGCGGTCTCCCCAGGCTCCAAAGCCGCGATCGCAGGTGCCGAAGGCGATATCACCTATCTGGGGGCACGGCCACTTATGTGGAGGACGGTCGACAAAGGTCTTGCGAAGATTTGGCTCGTCGTCGAAAAATCTTTTAGAATCGCCATTGCTGCTGAACTTCTCAATGATCCTGTTCGGGTACGTGCCATCGGCATTGAGAATCACTAAAGAATCGCCAGTGTATCCGATGCGGAACTTGCCAATTTGGAGATACCTAGGGTCAGTCAGGGTGCGGCAGGCTTGTGAACAGCCCACCTAAACTGAAAAAGCCCAAAAAAAGCCTTTAAAAACTCCTAAACCCAGAAACTCTGAAACCCTAAACCCTAAACCCTACTAAACCCTAAAACAAAACCCTAAAACGTCCGAGCACCAAAAGCCAAACTCCGACATGGAAGTTTCCAAAAATGGGGGCACCCTACTATAGTACCCCAAATAGTAGGATCCTTATTATAAGGACCCCTAAAATACGGTACCCCTAATTTTCGGAAAATTCCCACATGGCTGAATGGGCTTCGGCTCGGGATCTATAGCGCGCTTCAATAAAAGAGGGGGCCCACGACACCTGAGCCCTAAACCCTAAACCATCTAAACCCCGAAACCCTAAACTCCGAAACCGAAACTCGGGTTTCGATTTTTCTAATCTTTTCCGGCGGGATGCGCCCATCCAACGCTGATGCCTGTTGGGGGCCCCTCGGCGCGGTCTCTCAGGGTCCGATCCTTGGCCGCGGACCGGGAGGGGGACGGTTGAGGGTTTAGGGTTTAGGGTGGTTGAGGGGTTTAGGGTTTAGGGTTTAGGGGTTTAGGGGGCCGAGCCAAAATTGGCTGTGAGGAGTTTGGCATTTGAGGGGCCCGGTGAATTGGCTGGGTCTTCGCAAAATGCAAAGTGCTGACCTGCCAGGTGTCTGCTGTGTCCCAAGTCGATCCGTCGTGCTTCCACTCCCGAAGGACCCCCTTGGTAGTGGGGTCCATGTGCCTCAGCGGACGAGGAGCATGGCGTTTGCAAGACAAGATCACTTCAATGCATCGGAGCATATCGGAGCCATTGCGAGTGCACCGCAGCAAGTTTGCAGGTTGCACTCTATCCTGCACTGCTGGCAGGCGGCCTTCAAACACATTCACACAGCCCTGCAAGCTTCATGAAGAGCGTTGCAACCCTATACACCTTGACCCCTAAACCCAATCTTTGCAGCCACGGCTACGAAACCATGAGGCACCAGTCGTCCGCGCCTAAGCGGAAGTTGCCAATCTGGATGAACTGGAAACCCATCTTGATGCTGCCTTTGACGTGTTCGATTCCTTTGGGCCTCCCGGCAGGCATTCGTGAACTACTTAAGATCCCACTACTCGACGGCAGCCTCCTGCACTCCCTGGTCCAGGCCTGCCCCAAGCCTCGTTCCTCCATTTGCCATCGTTGAGCTGATTCGAATCCTGGTTGACGCGAGACCAGTCCTTTTTCAGAATCATGACCGCCTTGGAGAGATCCTGGTCGGATGCTCAGCTCGGCCAAACCGTAGCTCCAAAACAAGCGCTTGGAGCTGTTGGCTTTGGGACCTCGACACTGGACCCTACACCCCGGAGACCACCCCAAGAGTCCCTGTGCGTGATCGTGAAATGGTCCCCATCGTGGTCGGCGATGCGGAAGCTGCCCATCTCAAGAAAGCGATCTCCGAAGGCAATGTGCGTAGGCCGGTGGTTGCACTGCTGCTCCGCCGCACTCTGCCCAGCCGTGGTGGTCGAGGTCGTAGAGACTTCCGGGGGCATCTCCTGGGTTATTCTTCAGGTACTGACTTTTTAGCTACCAAAATATTCTTATTCTTTACGAGAGGTCCCTATTATGGTAACTCAACATAAGTCCCTTAATCCCCAAACCCTTATAGATCCTTTGAAGGAACCCTTATAGATCCCTATTATGGTAACAAAACCTAACTTCACAAACAACAACCGAGTCTCCATGACGCCAGGCTCTGGGAGACTTAAAAGGCCAGTGCCGCTGCAACCAATCTCCTTTGCACACTCGAATGTTAATATTCCCTAAACCATATTTGGGATCCTACTACAGTTTAAGGTATATCCCTTAATCAAGGAGTATTCGCTAAATCATATGATTAGGGATCCTGCCAGAATTTGGGTATATCCCTTAAGGAAGGACTATTCCCTAAATCATATTATTAGGCATCCTACTACAGTTACCACAATTTAAGGGATATTCCTTAATTAAGGGACGTTGGAGTCGCCGGGCTCCTCTGCACAGGGAGACTGCTCGAAGCCGTCCGTCTTCCAGGGCTCCTCGCAGAACAGCTTGTCCGAGCCTGGGCTCTTGCTAATTTAAGTTACCATAATAGGGATCTACAAGGGTTCCTCTAGGGATCTATAAGGGTTTAGGGGTTTAGGGATTTATTTTGAGTCACCATAGTAGGGATCTATAGTAAATAATATGGTTTCCTGATTTTGGTAACTTCAACCCACCGTTGTCCTTTTAGAAATAATAGACAGAGCCCTATACCTATATCCCTTCGTAGGAAGTATTTAAGAAGGTCTACTAGCCGGTCTGTTTATTCTTGTGGGGGAACCATGAAAAAGGACAAGGCTGCTTCAACCCAGGAGCTCAGAAGCTCGACCATCTGCAACTGCCAAGGGAGCTGCAGGGCCGTAAGAGCGCTCGCCAGCAGAGTCGCAACTTTGCTGGCAATTCTGTGGGCCAATGTGCCTCTCACTGGCCCAAAACCCAAGGAAATAAAAACTGAAACTTTCAGAATCGACTACCTTATAAGAACCCCAAAAATTGAAGAAAAGTTGAGTTAACAGCCAATGTGCCTGCACCTGGCACACAGTTCGCGACGGCGCTGGCACCGGGGCCGAAGGCCTTCTCTGCGCCTTCCTTGATGGCTTCTGTCAGCATTGCCTTGACCACGTCGCCGTCCAGCAAGTCCTCCAATGGGGGAGGTAGGGCGAAGCCGGTGATGCCCAGGTCTGCATAGATGCTCATGACCTCAGCGAGGGCACTGAGGGACTAGCCGGGCCCATGAACCGAGCACCCTTCCCTGAACTAAGCATGAGCTCAGGATCCATGTTCCTGGGTTCCCGGCTGCCGCATGGCACATGTTGAGCGGAGCTTTGGGGGCACCGTCCTGCCGGATCGCACACCCACACACTCCCACCACGAGGCTGAACGGTCTACATTCTCTCGTGTCAGGCCAACGGCGGTCCGGCCCGCTGCGGCGGCGGCGATCCCCGTTGCCCTGGGGATACTCGATCCTGCCCACGGCCTCTGCCTGTGCGTGGACTTGGGGGAAGAAGGTCACCGGAAGTCCCGGAGTGGGCCAGACCTCATTCTTTCGGCACTTCGGCACACGAACAGCATCGGTTGCCCAGCGCAGGACACTCTTCTGAAGATACTGAGACGGCTGCCACAAACTTTGGCCCGACACTCACGCGCAAAGAAGCGGTAGCCTCCGCCGCGGCTTTGATGCCTTCCTGCTTCAGAGCAAGGGCCCAAAACCCACAGCAGAGCACTCAGACGGGGGCCCCTGGCCTCGTACTTAACGTCCTTGATATCAGCGTAAACCAGAGACTCCTGATTCGTGTCGGTGTTCATCACGGCCCTGCCTGACCCAAAGGCAGCTGACTAGCACTGCACTGAAGACTTTGCTCATGGTGAGGCCTGTCACGAAAAAGTCCACGTCGTAGGATTGTGTGACCGTTCCTGTGAGGGTGCCCTCCAGCTTGAGTGTCGCAAGCATCTGCATTGCCAAGATGATGCCTCGGAAGCCACAGGGCATGCTACACCGTGAGTATCATGCAACAGGAAGGAAAAAGGTACCCATGCTCAAGAAAGCCAGGATGCACACACCCTTGGCGCAAATCATCTTCTTCTTGGGCTGCTTGGGAAACCCCCTTTGAGCTTCATAGGAGCAAGTGCCTTCTCCCTTCACCCAGGCTTGCACCGATGCGCGTACCCAACCTTCGACCTTGGCCTCTGTCTCGACTGTGGAGCCACTAACCTTCGTCTTCACCTCGATGAGGTCTGGGTTAAACGTCACGACGGCATCGAGGGCCACGCTCAAGTCCCCCTCGCAGGATCCACTAGGCTGCGGTGTCGCAAGGGCCTGGGTTGCCCTACGAGTCTAAAATCCTCAAGAACACATAAGCCCGGTGCCGTAAGTGATCCCGATGATGCCTTGATGTTGTGAAACCTAAGAATATCTGATCTGAGCTGCTTCCAGTGCTTGCTCGGGGCTCGTCCTGATTTCCTTACTTGTGTCAGCCGCGGTGGCCTCCATCGTGGAGACGTCAGCGTAATCAATTTCTTCCTGCACGATTCTTAAACATTACAGGTACCATTTTTACTCCTTACCGCAAGCATCCTATCCAGGGACCCGAGCCGTAGACCCTCAGTGCGTAACCGCCCTAACCTAAAGACCCCAAACCCTAACCGAACCCTAACATAAGCCCTTAAAGGCCCTACCTAAATCCAAAATTGGCTTCCGAAATTTCTGAAACTCTCTCCTCGGTTCCTGGCAGTGGCACCCCTCCCACTGGAGAGGCCTCACCACTGCTGCTTGCCGAAGCTTTCAATCGAAACCTGGGCATTTGCTTAACACGCTGAGCTGAAATCGCTACGGAATGTACGGCAAATTATATATATATATACATACATACATACATACATACATAATTACATACATACATACACTCTTTCCGTCCTCACTCCGGCAGCTTGAAAAAAGTTCCTTGACAAGAGCCCAGGAAACCCTTTGGCAAAGTCGGAGGTCTTGCTGGGCACGCACTTCATGTCCATGCCAAGTCCGGTGGTCTTTAGATGGCCTGGGTTGTGCTTTAAAACCCCCTAAACCCTAAACCCTAAACCCTAAATAAGGCAATAAGGGAAATTAAAAATCCAGTGGCTCTTCGCCTTGCCGTTCGAGTCAAGACTGCAGTCACACTGCTTGCCAAGGAGTGCCTTGCACATTAGGCTTAGTGCTTTTGGTGCTTAGGATTTAGGCTTTAGGGGTTTAGGGTTCAGGTTTAGGGTTCAGGGTTTAAGGCACTTTAGGGTCTTGTTTGCCAACGAGTGCCTTGCACCGGCCTTGCTCATCGGTTGCTGCCAGTGCATCCTCGGCAATGCACTTCACGAAGCTCTCAACCGCGTTCGCCACCTGGCATGTGCGAGCACCCCCGTTTAAAGCGCCGAGATCTCAAAAAAACTTGGGCGTAAAACCCTCATAGGTGATTCAGCTTGTGCATCAGGGTGCAGGGGGTTCTGGGCCTAAGGGTTTACGGCTTCAGGGTTCGTGCTTCCCAGAGACTCCAATATCCCTTAATTAAGGAATATACCTTAAATCATGGTAGGATCCCTAGTATGATTTAAGGAATATTCCTTAATTAAGGAATATGGGAGTCTCCGAGTTTGCAGTGCTTCGTGATGCTTCCATGATGCCGATACAGGTGGGCCGCCTGGGTGGCTATCTCCTTGGCTTTGTTGTAGACCTCCGTCGCTAAATCCAAGAGGTGCCCTGCCAACTTGTATCTTGCCTCGAGCGTAGTTCGGGCCACCCCATGCAGAACATTGCCCACATCCAAGGCTTGGTCCCCGAGTTCGTCGGCTAAGTCTTTGAGCTCAGAATCCAGCTTGTCAAACCTCATTTTTGGAGCGTTGATGACGCGGTTCCCGACTGCAGAAAAAACGTTTCCGGCGGCCGTGCCGAGGGTTTCGCCTCGGGTGTAGCTCTGAGAGATGTGCCGGGCAAAAGAACTACAATCATTATAGTGGTTCAATGACAAGGTGTCCCTGTGTGCACCGGTGACAAACAGCCTTGACGGCCATGCTGCCGGCATCCGCGACCGCATTGGCCAAGTCAGAGAAGGTTCCCACAATGGCGGAAGCGGCTTTTCCACTTGCCACGGCGTCGAGGGACATGTCGGAAGCATTCGCATGCTGCCCCATGGAGGTTTTTGAGGAACGAGCGATCAAGGCACCGTGAACTGCGGCAACAGAAGTGTTCGAGTGCCCAGCCGAGTCTGTAGCATACTCCCACATCGAAACGTTTGACTCCTGCTCTGGATCAAGGACAGCCAATGACAGCCCCAAGGTGCAAGGGCAAAAAACTGCGGCAGCTCTTATCCACAAGCGGGTGACAGCACATGCACACTCAAAAAGCAAAGGGATGCAGAACTACCAGGCCAGCAACCGCACCTGCGTGAACTTCATGGCAGCAGCCATTGGCAACATGGCCCTGGCTGTTCAGGAACTTGATTCCACAAGAATCTTCTGGATATGCTCACGCAACCCTAAAGCTGAGCCAAGCGCCCAAGCAAAGCCCAGCATGGTAGCGGGGGCCGCGTGGATTGCTTCATTGCTCTTTAAGAAAATATGTAGAACGGCTAGCACAGCTACAAAAGCGCGAGCCACGCCTCGCAGCACACAGGAGTACAAGTTGGGTGAGCCGCGCACAACTGCGCACACGTGTGGAGCTGTCCCTACTTAAAGGATCATGGGACTTAGTAAGTAAGGTCATAAGCACCTCAATTGGGGTTATAAGTAGTTATAAGTACAGCTACCCTAACAATAACCTTAGTTGCTAAGGCTGCTAAGTCCCATGATTCCTTAAGTAGCAGCCCCACATCTTGACAATTTAGCAGGTGCTCCGCAGCACAGATGCTTTGATTTCTGGTGCAACTGCCCAGTCGAAGGGTGGGACAGGGCATCTGCGACAACAGAGGAGCTCTGTGCCAAACAGTCCGCTACATGCACACCCTGCAACCCTGAACCCAAAACTGTAAACACTCAAGCATCCAACAACTTAAATGCTCAAAGCACCCACACCTTCCAAAACCCCTACATTAAGGAATAGAACTCGAATCGTATCAGGGATCCTACTACAAATAAGTTGAAGTATACTCCTTAATTGAAAGCTGTTGGATGGTCTGGGCACCAGTAGCCGCAGGATCTCATTTCTTGTTTTGCTTTCCCCCGCTGCAGCTGCTTTGAAGCGTTACCGCCGGGCCAGGTGTCGGAGCTTCATTCCTACGAGAGTGGCTTAGGGCTTAGGGGTCTGGAGGCTTTAGGGCTGCGTTTCGGGATTTAGGGTTCAAGCTTCACGCACCCTTAAAGTGTAGGGTTAGGTGTAGGGCTGTGTTAGAAAGGCTGAGTTTTGGTGACACTGGGCTGGGTTTAGGGCTTGGGGTAAGCTAAACCTTTACACTGAAAGCTGCGAAACGCGCAAAAGCTGCGACACACTCCGAAAGCTCTTCATGTAAGCTATACAAGAAGGGGTTAGGTTCCCAGAGACTCTAATATCCCTTGATTAAGGATTATACCATAAGTTATAGTAGGATCCCTCATACGATTTAAGGAACGGTGCCTAGATTAAGGGATATTGGAGTCTCTGGGTTTAAGGTTTAGGGAGCTGAAGGAAAACATCAACAGCTTTCGAAGCTTCGGCGCATCTCGCTGCTTGCGGAGCTTCTTGCGGCTTGCGCAGCTTTGGGGCAGGAGACTAATGATTAAGCAACCTTGGGAGGGCTCAGAACACGGACAAGAGCGTCCGATAGCTGAACGCCCCAGGCGCAAAAGCGTCGATTAGGAGCCATAGGTCCTCCCTCTCCGGCCTGGCACCGACACCTGCGAGCACGCCGAGCCCGCGTTCGCCGCCGCATACGGCAAGGGCAGTCTTGTTCTGACTCCCGTCTCCGCTTGGTTGCGGAACATCACGGCTCTGCCCCGCTGCAGAAGCAGTGTGCTTTCCGCATGGGCCGCCGACCGCCATGGAAGCGAGAATCGGCGCACGCCTACTCATATTGGTCTGGTGCGGATGCCTACCGATCGCCCAAAGCCAAGGCGGCTCCCAAGAAGAAAGGTCCTGCCTTTCCTGCGTACGACGACATCCCTGCGGAGGAGCTGGCGATTGTAGAGGTCTCCACCAGGCCGGCCCCGGCGAGTGGCTCGCAGAAAGGGGGCATGGTGCAGGATGTGCAGCAGGCCGTCAATGCGGCCAGGAAGATCGACCAAAAGCTGGCGAAGCTCCAAGGAGAGCTCATCGACAAGGACAAAGCTTGGGTGGCCTATATTCACAAGATGATTCGGTCCTTCAAGGCGGAACGCTCCCGGCATATGCAGCATCAAGCCAAGCTGCGTGCGGAGATTACCGACCTAGAGTCTCAGAGAGATGGGGCCTACCAGAATGTCCAGCAAGTGGCCCTCGTAGCCACGGGTGTGATTCCCAAAGGAGCACAAGTTGTGGGCATGGATGTGGAGGCCGAGGAGGACGACTCCGCCTTTGGGGCGGAACTGGTTCGCATGCTGCAGGAGGCTGTGGCCGCGACCGGGACGGCACCCGCAACGCCAGCGCCGGTTGTGACACCGGCTCGCCCTACGCGGGTTATGCCACGCACTCCACCCCGTTTTCAGGAGCCACCTGGAGATGTTCCTGCTCATGTGTCGGATCCTTATCTGACCTCTCCTGGAATGGCGCACTTCGGGATACATTCGTCTGCCGGTGGCGAGAACAGTGCGCCCCCTCCTACAGCGCCGGTTCCCATGCATGGCGATGTGAACGCTGGGGCACCTCCCGGCCTTACCGAGCGTCTGTCAGAAAAGCGACGCCAGCAGCGGCGTGCTCTGGCGCCCTTTGGCTTGCCTCCGCCACCGGAAGCCTCCACGGTGGCCAATGCCGACGATCTCTCTGCAGCGGCTGCTTTGCCTGTGCGAACGCCCGGAGGGACCCGCATCATAGACGACGACCTGGACGAGGAGCTACAGACAGCAACATCCCCGGGCCTGGGCAATCTGGAGTGACATCTGTCTTGTGCTATGGCAGCACCGGGCCCCTGACTATCCGTTTGTCTTGCCCTAGACAAGCCGGCCTGGCGGGAGGTTGTGAATCGCGATTGACTGTGGTGGAGTCAATCCTTTTCACCAGCCCCTTCGGGTCCGACAAGTTTAGGAGCTGGACGCGGATTGGTCCCCTGAGTGCAAGTGAGACAGCTGCGGGTAGTTGCTTTCTGTACATAGTGGTCTCCTGTCGAGCTCTCTCTGGGCTCACTGTCTGCCCTGTCCATACTGGCAGCCTCCTCTCCGCGACGTGCCTTGGCGGACCTGCCTGGATACAGCATTGGCTTTGTGCTGTTTTCTGGTGCAGGTCTCCGCAGTCTTCCTCGCGGGATCTTCGTAGTCACTGGGCTTGTGACCTCGAAGTATCTCCCCCGCCTGAGCAGTCTCTCTGCTCCGCATATGGCCTTTCGCAATGGGAATGCCTTTCTCCCTCTGCAGGGATTTTTCGACCGTGGTTAGTGGCGTGCCGAAGAGAAGCATCGGTGGCTCTGGGGCTTCCACCCACTTCATGGTCCCTTTTCTGGCCCTTGGTTGTCCAGGCCTTTGTTTGTGCCCTGGGCTTTTTGTGTGCTGGGATTTACTGTGCATCAGCACGCAATTTTGAATATGCACCCTTCGAGGATTTCTGCGTGAGGTTTGGGTCTCGCCTTTGGCCAACGCTTGACCCTGTCAGACCCGCCTTGAGTCCCACTTTTTCGCACCACATACTGCTCAAGCGGTTTTATGCGGTGTTAGCTTTGTTCCTCTTTGGTTGCCAGGTGGGAAGATGCGCAAGCTCTACTGTGCCCCTTGACTGGGCTGAAGAACAGGCTGGGTCGGTCCTCTGCGGCCTCCGTTTCATCGCCCTCTCTTGCCTAGTTATATTGTGGGCTGATCAGGCATGTCGCTTGCTGGGATTCAGGTCTCTAGGTTGCTGCCGCCCGGCCCTCTTAAGGTTAGCTGGTGCCGGTGTTTTGCTGCCTGTAAGGACCACTACCTGCTCAGGAGGCCGTCCTTTGCGTCGCGGGACTGCCTTTCGGGCCCCGCCAGCAGCCAACTTCCAGGGGCGTACGTCGCCCAAATCGCTTTTTCGGTTCACGGGGCTGGCTTGGCTGTTCGGGTTTGTTTCCCTACCTCAGCCAGTTAGCGCAGCCTGGCTTCCCAACCCTTCTTCGATTGTGCTGGCCGGTTGCACTGGACCGGCAGGGCTTCTTCACCTTGCGTTGGCAGCCCCTGCAGCTGGTGTCCGTTCGACCCCATCACGCCCGCACGACGTTGACCTTGCTGAGCTTGCGCATCATGTTGGCCCGCCGCTACTTGCCGCTGGCCCGCGTGCTCTCCCTCCTTTTGGACGTGAGACTGTGCATCTCCTACGCATATGCGATGTTACGGCACTTCCGGACCCCATTGGCATTGCTGATGCACGTTGGCTTGGTGTCACCGTGTACACGCCGCATTTTGTGCCACTCCGCCTTGCCGTTTTGTGTGAACCCGGACAAGGCCTTGAACACGTTGCATCCACCATATTCCGAGAAGCACCGGGCGCGGAGACCGGTTTGCTTGACAGGTGCGTACCTGCCAACCCACAGCGATTTGAGGGCTGGTGCACTATGGTACGTTTCCCATCACTTGCTGCCCTCTCCCCAGACGGACCAATGCGTGCCGTCCTTGTGGACTTGTCGTCGGTGGGCGGACATTATTTTGCCTGTCTGCTGCCAGAGCATATGGACTATGCGGAGTTGCTTCATTTCGCACTCATGCAGGCGTCTTATTCTGAGGTCGACATGCTCCTACATGTTGGCAATCAGGCCGAGCCACATCCTTTTGATGCCCCTGTCATGCTACGCGATGGTGATGTCCTCACCTTTCGCCGGCCTCCACAGCATTGGCTGACACGGTGCCAGGCTGCCCAACTTTTTCATGCAGCAGCTACGTGGCTTCCTCCTCTCGACATGCCTCGTTTCTCCCCTGCAGTTGGGGTACTGGTGCACCACGGCGCAGAACGAGTGTTCATGCCCAAACATCACCACTACGGCCAAACCCCTCTGTCTGCCATTTCCTCCATGTGGGATTACGGTGAAGATGAATGCACTGTTGGGGTTTTTCCGGTCCACGACCTTGAATACAGGGGAAACCCTTGTTGCCAAGTAGCTGGTGTCGTCAGCCTGCCCAGTTACCAGCTGCATGCTCCCGCTTCTCATCGCCGTCGAGATTTCTTCGTATTATGTGACTTTCGAGGCCTCGGATTCGGCGTGAGAGTTGCCTACTCCAATGTCCCCTGGGTTCATCTGCCCTCTGTGGCTGGAATGTCAGGCATCAAGATACCCCCTCGCCTGCGCCTCGTTGCTTTGGGTTGGGAGCATTTCGGGGATGAAGTAAGGCTTTATGGACATGACGCTCTGGTTATTAGAGTTGTGCCCGGCTTTCCTCCCATCACCCACAACATCCAGGTCGATCCTCCTGACGACCCAGATGAGGGTCCTGACGACAACAACTCCCACCGCAATCAGGGACGGCGTCATGTCTACCCGTTCCTTGTGACCCC